AATTCGGTACTTAGCCCAAGAAAACAGATATCTAGTCCTTTGCGCGGGAATATTTAACACACAAAAAAGGCGGGGGCCCCTACAAAAATTTTTCAGGGGCCCCCAGCAACTCGGGGCCCGGGGCAAATTGCCCCCTTTGCCCCCCCCTCTGGGCGGCACTGCACCTGTACATCATCAGTAGTAAGAAAACGGGCTCTAAAGCCGATATGTCATGATATAACCAAGACTAAGTACTTTCCGGAAGTGTGTATTGGTTTAGTTTTTTTCTGGTTTTGTAATGCAGCAAGAGATTGGCTATGACTCTATAAATATGAAACTCATCGAAATTTTGCTCTTATCTTTGACTTACCTGTGCTATAGCATAATTACAAAAACATATAATTGAATTTTTTAGTTTGTTAGATTTGGTCGAATTAAACCATTTGGAGAGATGTTTCACAGCTATCTATCACCTTTCACTGACCAACGAGACTCAGGTCCTCTCATTCTGACGCATGTTTATCTACTGACTGGCTGTGCATTGCCATTGTGGCTGTTTCCATTAGACTATCACAAGTTATCTCACAATGGTATGTCGTGTTTTATTCATATAAAGAAAAAAAGTATTCTGTTTCTGTTCACACAACTACAAGTGCATATAACACTGATTTTTTATGCTTAATATTAAATTGTCACCACGTTTATACAGGGTGTCTCAAAAAAACCGCTACCCTTGGAAATTCACCATTGTTCTAATTTGAATGCCTGAGTGCTATCTTGAACTCATGGGTAATTTAAGACAATAAATACTCTTTGCTCTGTGCTCAGTTGAGCCATTTGCTTGACATTCACTAATATGTAATTGAACGATTTTCGTGCAGTTCTACTTTTGTATGAACTATTTTCAATTCCCAGGATAAAGAACAATGGTGAATTTCTAAGGGTAGCGGTTTTTTGAGACAAAAAAACCCAACTATTGAAATACCGTATTGTTAGAATTTGAATGCCTCAGCACTCTGCTGAACCCACAAGTACATCAAAGCTTGACATAAGTAAATTTTATGCTTAAAGAAACTGTTTAAGAAGCTGCTTTAAATTCCCAAGAGCAGAAAATCGTGCATTTTACAAAGATATTTTATTTTCTTAACAAGTCAATATTTATAATATATGCACCCTGTCAATATTTTACGCATCTTTGCATTCAGCTTAGTGCTAGGGCATTCAAATTCTAACGATACGTTATTTCAATAGTTTTGGTTTTTTTTGGGACACCCTGTAGAATAAAATGAGAACTACTATGGAACATTTTCCGTGTTGACATACAGTTATATCAACACGAGTGGAAATTGGGATAACGAGAAATTGTGTGGAACACGGCTCTTAGCCAATCAGCGTTCAGAATTTACAAATACTATATTATAAACAGATATATTAAATATCACAAGAATTCGCTTAATTCTTTCACAAAAATATGCCAAAAGATGCAGTACGTGAGTATTAATATCTATTCATAAACAAGTAACATATTTTTTGTGTCAAAATTTCGGTAGATTTTCTTGACCATGCAGAGTTGAAAATTTTCTTGCAATTTCCCTGAGCTGGTCAGCGGTTTTCATGAAAAAAAACGATGACACGCATAGTCGAAGATGACGCGCGCGCTGTGACCAGAAACTGCGTGAATACTCCACGCAATTTGAGGTGAAATTCTAATATGAATAGAATTCACAATCATTCTCTGTCTCAGGATGTGCACTGCTTCTCTATTCTGGTGTACTGTCAATCGGTGTTGGAGATGCTGCCGCTTCTGTTGTTGGCGTAAAGTTTGGAAAACATCACTGGAAAGGTACAATATATATACAATGTATATATATATATATATATATATATAATATATATATATTGTATATATATATATATATATATATATATATATATATATATATATATATATATATATATATATATATATATATATATATATATATATATATATATATATATATATATATATATATATATATATATATATATATATATATATATATAGCATAATATATATATATAGCATAATATATATATATAGCATAATATAAAAAGCAAATACTGTATTATGCTTCATGCTTTTAAATTTGAAAGTCCAGGGCCGTAACGGGGGTGTAACGGCTGGGGGAGGGGAAGGTGTGATCTAATTTACCGAAATTTGTACAATTTTTCAGTAATATTTTCGTAACAATTAAAAATTTTTCTACAATTACGGTATTACTTTTCAAAAAATTATGTAAAATTTCCCGCTGAATTACATCTTTTTTGCCTGACGAGCGCGTGTCGTTAAAATTGCACGACACAACCGCAATATTACAACATTGGGGGTGTCGCACCTCCCCCCCCCCTCCAACACACACACACACCAGGAGTTACGCCCCTGTCTGAAACTACCATTATAATAGTAGTCTACTAAACGTCGACACGTCGACGTTCTGCTTATATGACACCGCGGCTGTCTGTTATCATGGCTACACTTGTACCAACCGTTCGAGATGTTATCATATACACTGACTCATTTGAAGGTAAACAACATGGTTTTACAAATATTCTTCCAGGCACGACAAAGACTGTCGAGGGAACGCTAGCATCTTGCCTATCGCAGTTTTTCGTCGTATTTCTGTTAAAAACAAATGGTATGTAGCCTTGTGTCACCTTGCTCAATAATTGTCCTTTTCTTATAAGTAATGCGACGTTTTTGTCACCCGGACGTCAGATTGCTAGTGATGGGCGATACCCAGTACTCGGTATTCGATACCAGCGATACCACAAACAGCGCGATATCGGTATCGATTACTGACGTGTTATCGCTCGATACTTGCACCCTTTTTTAAACGACATGTTTAATTTCACTTCTTGGTTGAATAAGACTTAATGAACAACTAAAATAATTGTTAATATTCCGAATGTGGTGCGCCAAGTCAAGTATAGAATATATTTATTACGTTTCGGGCTTTTGGTTTACTTATAGTTTTATTTAGGTTCACATACAGTAAAGTAAAATGTTTTTCCACTGACCGGCAAGTATCGAAAGCAGCCGATAGTAGCAATTTAAGTACTCACTTCCGGTATCGAAAATTGAAATTTTGTGTTTATTTTGGTATCGAAATAGGTATCGGTATCGGCCGATACCGATCCTAAATGTATCGGTATCGGTATCGAATTAAAAATCCTGGTATCGCCCATCACTACAGATTGCCAAAGGGGGCAGGGGGACCGGATTAAAAACTGTGTTTGTGTCAGTTTGTGGTAATCTTCGCAACATAGGACAAAACATAAGATTTTGCTTCCTTACACGAGCGCTGCCACTTTCGGCCCAAATGTGGTGCATTTTCCCGCACGTAATACAAATTAATACAAAATTTGCAAATTTCGCAGGGCTATGTTTTCCTCATTTTACAACATTTCGCGGCCAAACTTTGCAATTTTACTATTTTTAACATGCTCTTTCTAGCTGTGGTGATGGATTTTGTTTTTCTTGCCTAGATCAAAATTTAGTTGATAGCTGGAATTGCCTATTGCTTCTCCGTGGTGCAAGCTCGCGGAGAAAACTTCAAGTTAGCGGGTTTCCCGAAAAGCCTGTTGCTAAATTACTAAAAATCCATAAACGTTTCAAGTTGACGGCAGCTTATTTATATGCACATGTTTCGGTTTCTTGTATATAGGAATGGATATGAGTCTTGTACCTGTTGGTCTGACCGTTATACTATCGTCATTACTCGAAGCTTTTACAACTCAAATAGATAACTTTGTCTTGCCTTTGTTCACCTATTCCTTATTGGCTATGACGTGTGTGACGTAAGAGGACGCGCATGCTCTATGGAAGCTTTGCATAGACTTCCTCAAAAGGGGGTATAGCTTCGTGGTGACTTCGTGCGGACTTCGTAAAATCTCGTGTGGCTTCGTCAAAGCTTTGTAGGAACGTCGAGCAGGCTTCGAGTATCGAGATTTCAAGATTGCAGGAAGTGAAGAACAGTTTAACACGAAAGATTTAAATTAAGCCCAAAAAGTTCATGTTAGGTAAGGATCATCCATAATTGGTCGCTAACCTGTACAGGGTGTCTAAAAAAAACGCTATTGAAATTCAACAGGCCGTCGTGCATCTCTTACAAGAAGTGAAATCGCAAAGCTACATGCATACTGTATTACATGCAGGGGATCGAATCCCAGTCGAGAGGTATATACGCGCAAAAATCTCACATCTTGTAGCAAGTCTGCCAACAAGTCGTCAACAAGTTGTGTTCGCACTGCTTGTGCCAAAGTTGTCAACAAGTTTGGAACAAGCTGTTAACAGTTGTAACAACCTTTATGATATTATCAGACTTGTTGCAAGGTTGTTCCACCAAGTCCGATACAGTCACGACATAACAATATTGTTACAACCTTGTGCCATCAACCTTGTAACATTCTTGATATATCGTGACTGTATCAGACTTGTTAGAACAACCTTGTAACAAGTCTGTCTGTATTCTGTAATGCTATCAAGCTTGTTACAAGTTGTTAACAGCTTGTTCCAAACTTGTTACAACAAGTAGGAATATAAGCAGTGCATGTGAGCAGAATTTGTCGACAGCTTGTGAACTGATTTGTAGTAACTTGTTTGCAGACCTGTAACAACTTGTGCGTTTTTACGTGTGTATATAGATAGCTACATTACAATTAAGGCACGTGTCTTAACCAATACGTTGTACATGCATGTAAAACCATACAGTGACTTCTTACGTATATTGAAAATTTTGCTATAGATTGTATAATATGCAGGAGGAATAAAGTATAAAATGTTTTGCTTTTTCAAATAAGTCGAATTTTTTTTATTTATTGGTTTACGGATTTGACTTAAAAAACCCCAGGTCGGTAGGTCGCAAAGAAATTTTAAAAACACACTGAGTATATGTAAATGCAGGGCTGCAAATTACTGTCGGACATCGGACAATGTCCGACTAAATTTGGCAAATGTCCGAGCAAAAGTAATTTTGATCGGACATTAGTCCGATCACAAAAAAAAATTGTCACCTACATTTTTTTGCTGTGACAAAATCCGATTGCAAATTCACTCAATTTGCATTTTGCAATAAAATTTACGAGGCATTCTAGCATTTTACTTAACGTTGAATGGCTGTACATACTTGTCTCGTGACTTATATATATCTTGTGACGTATATGCGTACATGTCCGACCACAATTAAAAGCGATCGGACAAATGTCCTGTCAAGTCAAATATTTATTTGCAGCCCTGAAATGAGAACCAGATTTAATTAATAATCTAAATTTAATAAATTAATTTTCACTTGTCTCAGCTCTTTAGAATCGATGTTTTTATCTTCTAAACATTTAACTTCCATGTAAGATATCTATATGTTAACTTCTACTTGGAAAAACATAGCTAATCTCCACATTCATTGTCGCAAGACTCACATTAACGATAACATGAGCCAGCAATACTTAGAATCAAAGTTTACTTGGCGTGTACTTCTTGTCAGAACCCCAAATTAACTAAAATTAAAAAGTCTTGCCTAATGAATACTAGTTTTTGACGAGACCAGTTTTACTTATATTTGTAAACAAGCAACGTGTCACTGTTTTGTCTCCGACTCTGTGCAAGCAATATTATAGTTTTGCCACCCGTCCAATCAGACAATACAACTGAGCAATAAGTCACTCTATATACTATAGTAAATGAATAAAAGATTGAATTCTCTCTTGTTTTAAACTTTGAAATATATATCTCGGAGTTAAATGCCATTCAGGGACGCAATTTTCCCCAAGAAGACCACAAATCATGATTTTGTGGGCAAAAATATCGGCGAACAAGCGTCGTACATGAACGGCAATGCCAATGACAATGTCCAAATTAAGGTAAGAATTTGATTAATTATATCTAAGACAGTAAGACTAAGTTCAATTTGGCTTTATTTTTTATGAGTTGGTGCATATATGCTTTCATTCATTCATACATATTATTGCTTTGGAGCTTGATAAAGCAATATGAAAGCATAAATTATAATGTTAGTTAAACTATAATAATTTGGTGCAGTGCATGTATGCCTTAATTCATATATTAGGGAGTTTACGATCTACGACGCGGCCGGCTCGACGACGCGCTTTCAAAACAAAGAAATTTGGTGTTTCCACAAGCAATAGTATTATGTGTTTTATCGCCATGCAAACCTACAAAGAACTTACAAATAAATTTGTCATGCAAGACAAAAACTGTCAATAATTTGTGGTCCCATGAGTATTGTCAACCGCGTTGTCATTCTCAACACAACGTTAAAAAAGCATTTTTACGTCTTTCAGGCAACGCGAAAGCTTAATGCGACACAAGAGGTGTTACTAAAAGTCGAAATTACAGCAAACATTGCATCGCTTTAGCCGAACGTAGCATTTTGTAAGGTTGTTTGAAAGAGTCAAATATTTATTACAGTAATCGAATTGCTTAGCGCTCATTCTTGAGCTAAAATTTAGACCGCGTCGTTGAGCCGGCCGCGTCGCAGATCGTAAACTCCCTATTGCTTTTCTAAAGTGCCGTATAAGTTGACAATTTTTCACACAGCCGCCAAGAAAAACTTGACGAGTGTGAAAGAAACGGCTATGGTTTTGGCAAACAAAAGGCGGCCATGACGTGAGATAAATATTTAACAACATTCCGTGCGCACGAGTAACAAAACTTGTGAAGGAAAACTTGTTGACCGCACACATGAGGTAAATTTGTCAAGGAAAACTTGTTCGTTTAGCTGAGCAATATTTTTGACAGCTTTTCTCATGCATGCAGTCATATCTTCAAATGCGCCTGTCAAATGTATAATTATATATAGCCATATAGGCCAGGCATTAAAATACGGAATTTTTACAAGGACTCACTTTGCCTTCAGAGGCGTATTTTTGGTATAAATGCGCAGACTCACGAGAACGAGTGGCGAAGCCACAAGTTTAGCGTCGAAGACGCGAGCTTTTCAGGGGGTCTCTGAAATGGCATTTCCAGAGTTCTGAGAACAGAATTTGCAAATTCTTTGGCCATTTTGCTTGGATTACATTAATATATTTTCAGTTCAATATATTTTCAAGTACACACTTTTCAATTTACAAGGGCACATTCGCCTTTTACAAGGACACAAAGTGTGTACAAGGACACGCTATTTTAATGCCTGATGTAGGCTACAGTTGGTTAAACGATGCAGCTACCTGAAAATATCGACCGCCAAATCTCATCTTTGAGCTGGTTCAAATTCATTGATGAGAGTTTTTGCTACCCGTGGTAATATCCAGTCAACTCTCATGCAAGCCTTGTTCTCGTTTGACTGGAACATGAGAGTTGAGTAAAACTCTCATGTAAATTCTTGCTTGCCAACTGTCGTCAAGTCTCATTCTTGTTTTACCAGCTGGGCTTCGCTTAATTTCATGAAAATTGAACCGTTTCTTTAAGGATCTTTAAGTATTGCCACAGAATAGCATGCTTCCTAATTAGCCGCGTGTATATGAGTACTTTTTTCCTGGAACTGATTGTGCACATTTTGTGTTTTATTTTATAGCTCAGTCCGTTGACAGTACAAGATTCTCCTCGTCCAAATCCATTTCCGAGACCTGTCTGGTATACCCTTCTTGTCATTGAGTAAGTTTTATATTTTGTCTGTTAATGGACGTGGTATTAATGAGCTGAAAACCTCAAGGGGCCTTTTCATATAAGCCGGGCTGGCCCGTTAAACTGGGCTAGCTCGCTTTGCCGGGCCAAGTTGGGTTTTTTTTCGCACGAGGCAGGCTAGCCCGGCAAGCGCTATAGTAGTATAGAAATTCCCGCGCGATTTTTGACGGGAACGCGATATTTGTTTTAATTTTGAAAAATGCTATTTTTATTTAAGTGACCGGAACTGTTTCAGAAGTTTTAATATTGTTGATTTCTTACTTGTTTTGAATTCTTAGATGCTTTGTAGTTTCTAGATAGAATAAAGCATTCGTTGTGACATGCACATTTTCCAGTCCGGCAGTTTGCCGGGCTGGCCCACTAAGTTTATTCATATGAGCCTGGGAAGGGGAAATCTCGCCTCGTTCAAACGGGAGCCTAGCAAACCGGGCCAGTCCGGTTCTCATGTAAATCAAATCTCAAAAATATATAAAAACAATATACGAGGCGAGATCTTGCGAGTCAGCCCGGTTCATATGAACAGGCCTTCAAGAATTCTTCACACACCTGAGCATTTTCACGGTTGAACAAATATGTAAAAGCATTAATTGTTTGCCCATAATACTATGCAGAAAAACTTACATCAAAATATACGTAATTTGCACGTATAAAGCAAAACATTTAAGCAAGTGCTGCCAAGGCGTAAAAAAAATACCTGTGGTTCCGGTTCCCGACCGACCCTATTTTTCTGCCAACCCTATTATTTTTTCAACGCGATTGACCGTGCGACCCTATTTTCTCCAGGTGGTTGCGGGCTGCTCATACAGTGTGCCAAAATGGCGTCTGTTGTCACAGTAATTATTGAACCAAATTGCCTAAATTCGTCCATAGGAAATACGCAACTCTAGTTAATATTGATGTCGGGACTCTACTGCAAATCGCCCAGCAAAAAACCGCCAAAACCATGAAAAAAATATTCAAAAAAAAAACTTATTTCCGACCTACCGACCCTAATTTTTTCACGATGTGAAACCGGAACCACAGGTATTTTTTTTTACGCCCAATATAAAATGACTCCACTTCGATCATTTGGATCATTTTAACATATTTAAAAAAGTGCCTCGCCGAACCAACATAAAGGGTTTGAAACAATGCAAAAGTTTGAGTTCCAAAACGCGATGGATCAACGAAGTGACAACTTGGGGAAGCCTCACATATCGATTTTGTCCATGAGAAACGTCATATGTTCGTTTCTCTGGAGATCCCCCCCCCCTCCTTAGAAACGTCACACATAGTTATCGATATTTTGCTCTTATAGTACACATAAGGTAATTTTCTGCTATTTTCTACGGTCGGCTATTGGCGAAGCTTCCGCGAGGAATATATCATCTTCTGCTGACATACATATCTTTTTTATTTAATATATGAACTTTAAAATTTCCAATGTTTCTCAAAACAACTTTTTTTGCATGAAATATTGATAATTTTAGCGCGTTTTTCTTGAAATTATAATAAAGATATATGTATACGAATAGAACAGGTATGATATTACGAATGTATAGACTGTTGTTTGTATCGAGTTGTTTTCTTTTTTATATTCTGCAAAGATGATTCTGAAATGTTAAGGCTTTCGAAAAAACTATCGAATTTTTCCATGATGTTTACAGAGAAACGTCACAGCTGCAACCCCCCCCCCCCCAAACGAACATATGACGTTTCTCGTGGAAAAAATCGATATGTGAGGCTTCCCTTGCACGAGATGCCTATACTCGGTCAGTTCCTGCTCCAGTACTACGATCATATAGTGTTTTAAAAAGCGCAAACTACTTAAATTGCGGTAACTATCGGTTCTCTGAGATGCCAATCAGAAAACTTATTGAGAGATCTATTCACAAAGAATTATTTAAATATATTCAACTGATTAAATAAAAGCGAAGCGCTCTGATTAATTGCTTAAATCCAAGAATGGCTGGTCGCAAATTCTTCAAAGACATACTTCAATCACTATAGGAAACCGAAAATCATTAAAAATTTGAAATACAATTATTCCTACAGTATATAATGGCATTTCCTTGCTATTCTAGGAAATTTTTAAAGTGCACATGATATGAAATTGCCTTAAAACAAATTTATTGTTCCCAAGTTATCGATCGGGCATAGACTAAGAAAGTCTGATATCTCAGAAGTGATTCAACGAAATTAAATGAAAGTGATTTGGTACAGTTAGTACGTCCTTCTGAGCAAACATTTTGGAACGTTTATGTGGTTGTCATAGCAACACACTAGTTACCAGGTCTCTCTTATGCCATTTGTCCAATGGACGGCCATTTGCATTATAGACTAAATTTTGATCTGAACAAGTCTAGACAAAAATTTCATCACAGCTTGAAAGAGCATCACAAAATTAGTAATATTCCAAAGTTTCGTTGCGAAATGTTGTAAAATGCGGATAATATAACCTTGCGAAGTTTGCCGTTTTTCAGTCATTTTGCATTACGCGCGGGAAATTGACAGCCCAATACCCTTTGGGGCTGTCAATTTCTCGTTTGTAATAAAATGCCCGATAACGTGAAAGGCCATTCTTCATCATTTTCAAGATACTTTCAAGTGATGCATAAATCGTTGGGAGAAAATTTCATGTCATGTGCACTTTAAGGGCTAAATTTGAAAGGTCGGCAATTCTAACCGTATCTCTTCCTCTTTGATTGAAGAGTATTCCTGTATGGATCGTATCCACTATATGTTAAACTGAGTAAAGTTGGTAACGAAATAAAATACAGCACAGCATCAGTGGTTTTACTCATTGAGTTGGGAAAGGTAGGCGACTCATAATAACAAAAACAACCTTTAGAGCGTTTGCACATGATATCACAGCTGCCATGTTGGTGTTCCAATTCAAAAGAATTTTAATTAGACTCCTTTGTCTGGAACACCAACATCAGTGGCCGCCATGACTTTTGTTGAGTTGGTCCCTGGGGAATGAGTGCAAATGCTCTATAGACCGATTCGAAAAATGGTTGTCATTCTTTGTTCTTCTCAAATTAATACAGTGCAGTACAGTACAATGCAGTATACAGTGCAGTACAGTGCAGTACAATTTATTTAATATCTTTCACTTTAGCTGCTTTTCTCTCTGATCAATATCTATCCATTATGGAAACAAGGTCAGGTGGAAAAACAACCGCTGATGGTGTGGCTTGCATTCTCAGTTCCCGCAATCCTGTATTGTTTTAACAACAATGTTGCAATTTTGGTCCAGCGATATTTGGATCCGGCCAGCTATGTGGTAGGTTCCCTAATTTACCGACAAGTTTTTTCTAAGAAAATGGGGTGTCCCCTAGCTTGGTACGCCCCTAAACATTGTGCTGTTAAAGTTGAAATCCTTATCTATCTATCTTTCAGATAGTAAATAATTTGAAGATTCCAACCACAGCTGTTCTATACAGACTTATAATAAAGAGGTTAGATTTTATATGACATGCTAACTCCTTGCTGTTCTTGTTCTCCAAATTTCAGTATATGTACGGTATTTATTAATTTTTGTTTCTTATCGTATTTTAGACCGCTCACTCGGTTAAAATGGTTTGCTGTTTGTCTTTTAACAACTGCTGGAGTACTAAACTCGTAAGTTTATTATTTAGCCATAAACCAACCATATATAAATGCTTCAAAAACTCATTAATAATTCATGAGGAAAACACAAAGAAAAATCATAAGCGTGTCGTATTTTTATATGTGATAGAGATTTCCCTTGATTTACATAAACTTTAACTTTGATTTTCTCGACTTACACAACGTATTTTTTGAAAATTACTTCGCCAATGAACTTACTAGATCGATCGTTTTTGAAGCAATTTAAACCATTCTCTGAGCTCAACAACTTTGTAGCAATTCGTCAGCAAGCCATTGGCAAGTTGTCAACAAGTATATCATCTAACCAACTCATGAGAGTTGAGAAAACTCTCACACGAACTTTCGCTGGCCAGCTCATTCCATTGAAGGCGTATGACAATTTATGTATTATTTCATTTTGTACGTCTTGTTTGCTGTGCTAAAAAAACGAAAGTAAAATTTGTTTTTGCTGAATATAGTTTTGGCAATCTTGTATCAGAAGAGAAGCTTCAAGACCATGCAAATGAAATTCATGTTACATTAACTGGACTTTCTATAATGGCTGTGTATTGTGCAGTAAGCGCCTTTGCTGGCATATGGACAGGTATGAATGACCTATCGTTTGACGAAGATCTGAAATGGAAAACAGTACGAACACCTTAAAACGAATGATATACTGACATCTCTCATCGGTGAACGTACAATATAACCCTTGGGTGGCAGATATCGACCGATAAAATTAACTATATTTATACTGTATAGCTCCATCAATGCTGTCTAAATTGCTCTCCCTATATCTGTCCAGTATATAAGAGCCATACCTAATTTGTTCAGTACGGTTACTACAGGAGGAAACAGCAGTACCGGCAGAAAACATGTGGAATTTGGTACTCATGCAAACTGGTAGCATGCACTACACTCAGAAAGGTGGTAGCATGATGGCAACGACAATATTTCACGAATATAATATCCCCCCCTAATATTTTGCGAAGTGTCCGCCATCACAATTGTACCTAGGATACCACCACTGGGGTGTTCGTTCATAGTTTCTTTTTATGACACTTTGTTTATCTTAATTGCCAACTTTTTCGCTTTGCAGAATTGATTGTGAAGAAACAATACGAAGTCTCCATACATCAGCAAAACTGCATGCTCTACACATTTGGGGTTCTGTTTAATCTTTTGGCATTCTTCATCATAGAGGCTTCGCCAAGTCTATCCGCTGAGGGTAAGAATTTTATTTGTTGGGGCAAAAGCAACTATAGGTTTCGGCTCAAACTTTCTCTAACTTCCGGCACAAAATAGATTACGTCATTACCTAGGCTCCAGGAATAGAAAGTTAAGAGGCAATTTTTTTCAATGTCACGTATTTACAATGAAAAGTGTTCAAAACCTAAAATCTTTTTGGCGTTTCTCTCAGAATCACTTTGTTTTTGCTTTATTCTCTAGTTTATACAGTTAGCTACCACTAACAACAATACCACATACAGTCTAAGAAGCAATAATCGAAAGCTTTACCTTGATAAACCAAAAACAAATTTCTTAAAACGTAGTTTTTCATATCGAGGAGCAATGTCCTGGAATAGCCTACCACTTGAAATCGTCGATAAATGCGGCGATTTATCAGTTGATTCATTTAAAAGATTTATCAATCAGAAGGATTAATAAAATTGTGAAATTATTATTGTAAATAGTATTTATTAGGTAATTTGATTATGTATTGTATTTTAGTTGTTGCACGGCTCTTTGAAAACCAGGGAACTGAAAGATCACCGTGCATGTAAATAAGTTTAAATAATAGTAAAATAATAGTTAAAAATTGTCAATTAAAATACAATTATCAATAATGCTTTAAAATTGACGCCATATTTAAGCCATATAGCAAAACTTACTGAACTTCAGACATAATTTTCTCTTTGGCGTATCATCTAAAATCTCTTCATTTTAGCATTATTTTACAGATAAAGCACTAAACATACTTTTTAAGTTTGTTTGCCGATTGAGAAACGTATCGAAAAATAAAAATTTTGAATTTAGTCATAACCTCAAGTGGTATATTATACGCATTAGTTTTGAGCGCGTGTTACGTGACATACAAAAACATCTCCTCTTAAACCAAATAGGATTATTTTTTCATTAACCTGGAAAATTTTAACTGGAGTGTTTTTCGCGCTGCTTTCCGCGTTTCGTAGAGTGCAGTGTAGCAACTTTACGCTCAATAGAGCGTCTTGTTTAGGTTTTTTTATTCGCAACTGTATACAGACAATCCCATTTAATCTTCAGTGTTTTAAGGTGGCTCCATACAGTTCCGTAGTATAAATACCTTATTGCGTAAAAATTTCAATTTATAAATTGTATTACTCCATCTATTAATTTTAAGCATTCCCAAGTATAAATTAAGTATTTGGTAGAATAAATTTGCAATATTCTTGAACATAATATTGTTTCCATAGTAACAGTAGCCTCGCCAAATATGGTATTTTTTGCTATTTTAAGCAGGTTTTTATTCTTTATTTTCCGAATATTGCCGGTGACCCCCAATTTTTAACTGCTGTATAGCTTTCACTTATAATAAGGAATCTTATCCCTGAAAATAAAAAAAATTCTGTAGATTAGAATAGCCAGAATAAAAAATTGCGGATTTAAAGTTTTCCAATCTACAGATTTTTTTAAAATTTTGATATTCTATTTGTTTTAAAAGAAGTTATCGTTGTGCAAAATTTCATCACATGTCACCGTGCAAAATTTTGAATTACACCGTTTTATTGTGGTATCTCACTCGCTCGGCCGAAAGTTTTTCGAGCTCTGCAAGATCAATGAATTGACATGCGCGTACATGTTTTCGCAGGCGCATCTCCAGAAAAACACGCACAAAAAGGTTTTTAGTCTCGTCGAAATATCAAATATATGTTGTGTTTTCTTGCTTAGAAATGCAAATATCTTTAGTTTTGCATGCTAACTCGGGATAACGCCAAGAAAACAGGTGATTGTGTCGTTTGGTATAAGATATGTGTGACATGTATGAACTTTTTGGCTTCTCTACATAATTTTATATTCGTTTACAGTCGTTATATTCGTTTTCATGTTGTTGTTGACAATTTAAAACAGTTTGAGCCGGCGTATGATGCTGTTTGACTGAATTCCTTTGCTGTTAGTGACACTTTGAATACATTTACCAGTTGTAAGTACAAAAAACTCTGGATATGAACATATAAAACGTCAAATATTGGAGTAAAAAACGTTTCGCCGGTCGGGCCGATCGCCGGTTTTCACAAGAGTTTGAATAAACATTGCATTTTTTACCTTAAAATGTCTTCTAAAAAGACTAGCTATTCAATGTTCAGGGCTAAATCAGGACGAAGTTTGTTCTTTGAGAACAAATGAGAACAAAAAAGACTCGAAACATCAAAATAACCATGACTTGTGGTTCGAATTTTAGACTGAAAAAGTTGTATTTATTTTTGCATATATTTGTAATATTTTCGCGCGAAACTCAAGATTAGGTACCAGTCCCCCGATGATGAAAGTGTATGGAGCCACCTTAAATCGTACGCGGAGTCGCTTGTATCACTTAATAAATTTGTTCTCTTGTAGGTGGAGTGTCGAAGCTGAAATATTTATTTCATGATTTTAATATGTGGGTGATTTTCATTGTATGCTGTGAGGTACTGGTATATATATATATATAGTGTGTTTATAAAGCATTGGGTAATCGAGGAACCAGGTAGCTTTCAATTTACATTATCTCAAACTCATTAATAATTGATGAGTAAATTAGCCAACCATATTGCTTTATTTTGCTCACATGATAATACTGGATACCTGGTGAAGTATATTGATTCAAAATTAATTCAGTCCATGGACTGGATCAAAATTAATTCACCTCACTTTAAAGGGGCAATGTCACCGATTTTTGGGCAATTCCAACCCTCGCAAATTTTGCCCAAAACTGAAAAAGAGTGAGTGTAAGCACAAAATAAAGCAATAACAGACACAAAAAACATGTACAGAAGTCTGGATGGGCAAGATTACGCCAGGATTGAGATGGATTGTAAATGGCATCTTGATTAATTGTTGGCAGACACTTTTTCAAGTTTTAGTCAATTTTTATAAAAATGTCATATTACATGTTTCGTGGAAGTTCAAAGTTGTTTAATATGACTCATATATCATAACTTAATCCATTTACAATGTTTATTTTTAACTTTGTAGTTCAATTTTTGAATAAACGGTATTTTAGGTCAAAAATCGGTGACATTGCCCCTTTAAGTAGTGATTTTTTCGTATGAGATGTCATTTCAAATCCTCCAATTCGGACTGGACTAGATTTCAAGTCCTCGCATTTTGATCCAGTCCCCTGCCTCGGCCTTGATCAAATTGCGCGGACTTGAAATCTAGTCCAGTACTCATAGTCGGATTTGAAATATGACGTCAAAAAAATTCTGTTTTTTTCCACGTTTTTCTAAAATCTGACCTCCTCCATATTTGATTCAAATTTTTCGATCACACCACTCCAAGCGTCTATTTTATTATCAGTTTTACAATAACAGTTGAAGATTCAGACAACAGGACAAGTAAAGTCCTAAATTAAGTCCTGCCTTGTTTTCCAGTATGTTTCCTTATCAAAGGCCCTTAAATTTTGCTTGTGTACCAATTGTTTTCCATTGCGAGTGTCTTTATTTTGAAATAATATATCAAATCTGACTATGAGGATCCAGTCCGAGGCGAAGCTAGTTGATACGGCATCTCATACTATACGAATAAGTCACTAATTAAAGTGAGGTGAATTCATTTTTGATTCAATCCAAGGACTGAATTAGTTTTGATCCAGTCCAAGGACTGAATCAATATACTTCATCTGGTATTATCATGTGAGCAAAATATAGTAATATGGTTAGCTAATTTGCTCATGAAATATTCAATGAGTTTCAGATATTCATTTTTCGTATATCCTTTTTGGAGCTATTCTCTCTAAAGGCCTGATTCCACGGGCGCTTTTTCTCGGCGAAATGCGAAATATTTCGCATGTTTCTTTTGAATTGTGAGCAATCAAGTAGAAATAATTTATTCGAGTGGTCGCAATTCAAAAGAAACAGGCGAAATAATTCACATTTCGCCGAGAAAAAGCGCCCGTGGAATCAGGCCTTAATAAGCCACTTCCTTTTCAGAGGAAGAAATTTAACACTTTTAAAAACTTTTTAAGACACCTCCCGTTTCACGACAAAGAAAATTAATATAGATACTGATTACAATCATTATTTTCCACAGAAATTAATCTTGTACATATTATATAATACGTGAGCAGTTCATTTGGACTAAAGCAATCAACCGACCCTTTCTATTAAGCTTCCTAGCTCTTCAATCCCCTCCCCTCCGGACCTCAGATATACCTGAAATCGATATGTCTCCAATCAAATGAGTTTGAAATAAATAAGCAACCAAGGAGGGATTAATTTAAGATTTACTCTATGTTTATTTTTTATTTTAGACATGTAGTGGTTTAATCATCTCAGCCGTCATGAAACATGCCAGCAACATAACTAGACTGTTTATTGCGTCATCAGCTATGATAGTTACCACTCTCTTCTCGTACATCTTATTTCAATTTCAACTCAACCTGTTTCTACTTAGTTCCTTGCTTTTAGTTATTGTAGCTTTATTTTTGAATAACCGAAGTTAGTGCTGTCAGGGGCTGCGGAATCGGTGGGCATGGGCTAAAGTACCCCATTTAAAGAATGAACGTTCCTCTTTTGCTGGTAAGAAAGTGCCTCTTTTGTAGTAGTAAAGACTCTGTAAAGGTCATTTCCGACGTTATAGAGACTCCATATTTTCAAAAAATTTCGTTCGGCTCATTAACGACCGTAAAATCGTTTGATTTTGGTTATGTACAAAAGTGCTCCTTAATTTTGGCCAATGCCCCTCCATTTTCGAAATGCTTCCGCGGCCTCTGAGTGCTGTTGTAATTATTGGATATATGTAGCTAGGCGAGTTTCACTATAACGGTATATGGCTAAAATATTCAAGATTTTCATGGCCATCTTGCTCGATAGAACCAGGGCTTTCAAAATAAGCCGGCGACTGCCGGAGTTCCGGCAGGTGTTATATGAGGTTTACTGCTGGCTACTTTCTTTAAACTATATTGTGTATCCATCTTAATGGCAAAGGAAGTGACAATAGACTAATATAAAAGTCAGATTTGTAAGTTCAGTAACTATTGTCTAAAAACCAAGAATCAGCTAAAACTACTAATGCCATGAAGGAGAAATGTTTATCCGGGAAATTTCTTGCTCATTCTAATCTGCGTTCTTAAAAGGCATTGGCAATAAAAAATTAGTTTAGTTAATTTTAAAGAGCTTTATTACAGATTGTTTATATCTTGCTTAGTTTTCAAAATATTTCGACTGAAAAAAGTGAGCTGTTCGCCATCTTGGATTATTGAGGATTTCCCCTGCTGTTGTTAACATTATGTAAAATTCGTAGTTAGCATTTAGCAACTAGTTGAAAAATTTTTGAAACTTGTAACTGTTTGTAACTAGTTACAAAATCCTCTAATGTAACATTTACAGCACTGGCAATTGGACGACTTTGTGGCTCTTGAAAGTGGTCAGAACGCTGTCCTGTAATGCTTGGAGTAAATCACCAATTTTATTATTTATGTAATATTGTAATATTGTAATAGGTATATTGGGTAAATTATATTGTACATTGTATTCTATATTGATATATTGCCATAATAATATTGGCAAAATTAGTAAGTCTCGTTGCAGCCACGCCCTTCGCGCGTGCAGGACGCCCAAGATCCTCGCAAACGGGCTATTAGAAACTTGCTGGCATTTTTTTTATTTTAATAGGAAAACATAAAAGCGCACTTTTGACGTGTAAAATATGAGAAATTTGCTCACCAACTCGGGTTAAAATTCAGTTCCCGAAACTATTTTGCACCATCCAGGATATATCGCGGTCAGAGGCCATTACATAAGACATTTCGTTTTGAATGAAATGAAGTAATAGGCTAATTTTAGTAAACATGGCATTTGTTTTTAAAAAATTTCAAATGATATTTTTATGAAGAAGAATGGATTCTGCTCCGAAAAAAGCTTTCTCTGATGGGTTGTCGTGGAACTCCATGCTTCTTTTCGGGTAGGGCAATTATTTGTGTTTGACAAGTTCTTTTTTTGTATATTTAAAAATTCGCGCAATTCTCTAATCCAATATGGCGGCCCAAAATTAAATAACTAAAATAGCGGTGTGTGTTTGTATCCAATATGTTCTGATTATTTTTAAGGTCGGACTAGAAGTCGTGTCTTAACCTTAACCCAACATTTTTAAATCAATATTATGTATGATATAGGTTGAACAACTTGTATTAAAAAATAATGCTCTGCACAGTTTATAGGGGGAGCATTCATACTCAACTTGCCACGAGAAACGTCAATTTGATGTTTGTGGGTTATTTTCTTTGGCGTTTTGCCTGTGGCAACCTGACACTTTTGAGTATTATAAAAGTACAATATAAAATTCTTTTGTATAATATAAAATTCTATTTGTAATACGTACTTTAAAAGCACAAACCTGTTACCTGTACAATATTTTCCCTAGTCAAGGAAAATATACAAAACAAACAAACTTTCTTACTTTGCCAGACGGTAAATCAAGGCTTTAGACTTATTTGTTATGTTTGTTAATACAAGTATTTTCGAGTATTCACACTTGTTTTTATCTTGCCACGGACTGACGTTTCTAACGTCAAATTGACATTTTTTGTGGCAAGTTGAGTATGGATGCTCCTCCTTACATTCAGCAAATAATTTATCTGGTCCGAGTTCATTATAGATTTTTCGGGACACGAGTTTACGGCGTTCCAAAAATTTTGTTTATTACTTTTGAGTTTTGATTTGTATGGAATTTCTGCTGCAATATACAGTAAAATTCTTTTCACTGCAGCGGAAATTTGCAAAATAATATCGACCATTATCCAGTTAATTTGCCCCCTGATTTGTGAACTGGACTTTAATTGAGCTATAAAGCCAGAGCTGAAAAACTGGAGTTTGCACAGCTCGGCTCAGACAACTCCCACAAACGAACAAGGTACCGTACCAATGTGTTGTTACTTGATATATTATTCATCTAGGGGAGGGTGCTGCCACTCAATGGTACTAGTAAACTAGAAAAATCCTTACAAATTGGCATAATATTTAACAGGTCTACAACACGTCAAAAACCAATTCACCAACATCAAATTATTTTTTATTGTATTTTTTTATTAACCCATTGAGCGCCCTTCCTTTTTTTTACTTGTCTAACGCCAGACGATTTTACTTGTCAATGGGAAAGCTCTGCAGCTTAATGGGTTAACCAAAAAATCTGAAATGTCTTTGTTAACCCATAATTTGAGCCGCAATGTGGCTCCAGTGCGCCCTACTTATTTTTTACCTGACAATAACGCCAGATGATTTTACTTGTCAATGGGGAAGCTCTGCAGCTTAATGGGTTAAATTAAGATCAACTTTACAATAAACATGATCGAAGAGTTACATATACAAACCCTGTCGTCAAACAAACCCTACAGTAGCTACCATATGTCAGTTTGGTTTGAGTATAGCGCGCATCTGGAAAAAAAACACAGTTGAACATGAGTTCAACACAACATGTGTTAATTATATTAATTATATTAACCCATTAAGAGTAATTCCAATGCCATTTCAACACAAAAAAAACTGATTTGACACCCACCGTCTCCAAATTTCTTTATAATTCGCAGGCAGTTAACATTGTGTGGGAATAGTTTAAGTTCAAAATTTGAGCATCGTAGCTGCAATAGTTTTTGAGATATTGCAATTCGAAATATGGCCTGAAAAGCAAAAAAGTGGGTGTGGCCAGTGCTAAATTCTCCTTTACCCTATTTTACATTTTGACCTGTAACTTCATACCCGTACATGGTATATCCATCAAAATTTGCACAAAGATGTATTTGTATGTGGAGATTTCAAATATTGCACTTTCATCTTTGTATCTGCAACCAGTAATGTGTTATTGGACAGCAAAAAGTCTAATTATGTGTTTCTGAAGACACAAAATATACATCATCTTTATTGGAAAAATTTTTATGGAAGCCATACAGACACATCAGTAATTTTTATTCCACATCATATCCACATGCTATTCTACTTTCATGCAAAATTTGGTGATGGTTAGTTGCCTGCTTTAAAAAGTAGAGCCCTTTAAAGTTGTCGTATTTTCTAAATAACTTTAATTGTACGTTTTGGGTGTTTGTTAAGAGTAAAATACATTCATTGAGAAATGAGACTGCCAAATAGCTTAATGTTTCATTCGATCCGTCTTTATGGATAGTGCATATTTAAAATTTGTTTTAAAAGTTTAAAAATTACATATTTATTAATAGTACATGCACAAAAAGAATATCAATGGATCAAAAGTATGCACTACAATTTATTTCTTATGATCTTATCTACCCCTTCTCGTGAACCAATTGTACTTTCAGTGAACTCTTTTATTGTATGCTTGTAAGATGATGAAAAATGGCTTGATTTGATTGAAGAAGTTGACAATGATCAAAGAAATGCAAACGTTAATAAGGTTTATGCAGCCAAAGTGCATCGCAAGATCATATTTCTGGCCAGTAAGAGGATACTTGTTAGCGATTGACCGATAATTGCGTCGTGTACTCGTGTCAGCCATACGTTTCAACAGAAACTCTTAAACATCTTTATCGAGCTTTAGTCCAACCACACTTTGATTACTGCTCGATGATTTGGGGTAACTGTGGCGAATCTTTAAGAGGCAATCTTCAGAAACTCCATAGATATTAGAAACTAGATTGGAAAACGTTAGGTGAAAGAAGGACGGGGCAACAACTAAAATATGTATCAAAAGCACTTACATGCCAATTTCACGATAACATTTCGGACATGTTTAAACTATATAATTCAGATCGATATGAATTAAAAAATAACAAAAATAAGTTGATGTTGTTGAAGCCAAAAACAAATTCAATGAAACGAACCTTCGGTTATGTTGCCGCTAAAGTTTGGAATGAAAGAAATAAAATTTTTATATAATTTTATCTGGGTGGGGTTGAAGTGAATAATAAACTTTGAATGGCTTTCTAATATTATTTATTTATTTATTTATTGTGCTGCGCTTCCAAACATCATACAATAATTGCATTAAAGAAGCTGGGACACCACAACAGCTTAACACCAATTACAGTGGGCCCTTTACAAAATATCAATATAAATATAGAAAACAGAAACAATTAACAATTTTTCGCCGAAGGCTAGGTGATTATCGGTGAGTAGGGACAGGGACAAAGTCGAAGTTTTCATTTAACAATAACCACCGAGCCTGAGGCGAATAATTGTTTTAGTTCAATTTCATAGGTGATTATTTGGGCAAAAAAATAAAAATACATATTTCGTCGTCATTTAATAGTCAAAACGGCTTCGGCCGATTTGGGTGGTTCGGGAGGGTGGATGCATGGGAATCTCTTATACTGTCTGTAAGTGCACGGCCTAGTGAAAAGTAACGACAACCGTGCTAATATTTTTTTAGTTGATTAGCTACCGTGTTACAAGATGTTTTTAATAAAAAAGTAAATAAAAAATTATAATCAGAATCGGACCGATTTCTGCTTATTGTATTTTCCGATTGTGTAAAACCGATTGTTGAGAAAATACGCACTTATGTAAAAATCATATATATTGCGCGGTGATACACGTTGAAATGCACTTTTTATGTGAAAACAACAACTGTTTAATCTCTTGCGCGAACGGTAGCGTGTTGCATAGTAGGTGTGGAGCAAACCGTTGCCGCGACGAAGTAATACGTGAAGCGTGTCATTTATGTACAGGTTTAACCAACTTTGGTTGCTACTAGTAACATGTTACGTTGGAAATTATCATTAAATTCTCGAAATGGATTATGACGTCATGGATAATCAGAATCGGGTAGATTATTGGATGAATAATTGATAATAATCGGTCAATCACTAATACTTGTCGGGTTTCGGATGAGAACATTATTTCTAACATTGGTGTTCCAACAATAGTCACTGGGAGGCAGTACAAACTGCAGCCTAAAGACCAAGAAGTCTTACGCACATTCATGGATAAACAGTAGTGATCTCTATATATACTTCTTAAGGTAATTTGATACAAGAAATAACAGTTACTCTTGGAGAACATAATGTACTATTAAAAAAGAATGATAGAATCAAACATTAAGGTATTTTGCAGTCTCATTTCTCAATGAATGTATTTTATTCTGAACAAACATCCAAAACGTACTATAAAATTATTTAGAAAATACGACAACTTTAAAGGGCTCTACTTTTTAAAGCAGGCAACTAACCATCACCAAATTTTGCTTGAAAATAGAATAACATGTGGATATGATGTGGAATAAAAATTACTGATGTGTCTGTATGGCTTCCATAAAAATTTTTCCAATAAAGATGATGTATATTTCGTGTCTTCAGAAACACATAATTAGACTTTTTGCTGTGCCATAACACATTACTGGTTGCAGATACAAAGATTAAAGTGCAATATTTACAAATACATCTTTGTGCAAATTTTGATGGATATACCATTTACGGGTATGAAGTTACAGGTCAAAATGTAAAATAGGGTAATGGTGAATTTAGCACTGGCCACGCCCACTTTTCTGCTTTTCAGGCCATATTTCGAATTGCGATATCTCAAAAACTATTGCAGCTACGATGCTCAAATTTTGAACTTAAACTATTCCCACACAATGTTAACTGCCTGCGAAATATAAAGAAATTTGGAGAGGGTGGGTGTCATGCCTGTGTTGAAATGGCATGGAATTACCCTTAAGCTGCAGAGCTTTCCCATTGATGAGTAAAATCGTCTGGCATTAGACAAGTAATGGTGCACTGGGGTGCTTTGCAGCGCAATGGGTCAACTAGAGACATTGTCAGATTTTTTGGTTAATATATATTTTCATGTCAGGTATATCTTACTATTTTTATCAGGGCATTTCTATATGGATCACATGTTGTTCTGCTAAACATTTGTAAAGTGAATGGCAAGATTCCATTTAACTCTGCTGCTGTTGTCTTCTTTACTGAATTAACAAAGGTATTTATAGTCTAGATACAGTACTCCATTTTACAAGTACTGTAAAGTCATTCTGCCTACACAGAGTGTAATAAATATTAAAATGGGGTACATCGGAGCTTTGGTCATGATTCAAGATCCAAATGCAAGATCTACAGCAGCAAGGCACTAGTCTGTAGTCTTGCTTGACAGTTGCAGAATTATGTTATTATCTCGACATTCTGTCTCTTTTTTGAATAGGTTAGCCCATAGACATTCCTTTGTTTAAATGTCTATTAATGCATGGTTAGATTCACCATGTTGAAATTACCATTATTGGTAATGATATTAAATTTCCCAAATTAAACCATCAGTGATTTAGACAGAGTAAACTAATAAAGTAGGGCACATTGGGATGCTTAATGCAACTTTAGTTAAATGGGTTAATGATAATTTTAATTTTTTTCTGTGTTTGTAATTGCATTTCCAAATTTAAAAAATGGATTCAGATAAGGAAATTGGCACCCAATGTGCCAAGGTTAGTGTTGGTATAAACATACAGGGCTGATCAATACTTTCCTGGGGGCTGGAAGTTGAAAGTTTGCCCAATTTTTTATGGTGGATTGTAATGAAATAAGTAAACCCAATTTTTCATAGAGGATTGTAATGAAATATTAACCCGAATTTTCATGGAGGATTGTAGTGAAATAACATGAATTTAACATATTTCCTGATAAATCTGCCTGAATATTATTTTTCCCAAATTTCCATGGTTTTCTAAAGTTGGGGGGTGCGGGGAGTTTGTGGGCAGGGCAGTTCAAATCCCAAGTTTTGGATCATTTTGACTCTTGAATATACATACAGTGCAGATTAGTCAGCTTGATGAGTTAATTGCCAACTTTAATTTCAATTATTTCAGCTATTGCTAGCAGTTTTGATGTTACTGCCAGAGTTTAGAAAAGACAGCAAACCCATCCTCATGGTGCCCACTCCCAAGCAATTCATGATGTTCTCTGTTCCTGCGATATTGTACACAGTCAATAACAATCTTGTTGTTCACATCCAGGCATATGTTGACCCTGCTAGTTTCCAGGTAAGATTTTATTTTGAAAACTAGTTTAATTTATGCTTGTGTGATGTTACTCTGAGTGTATATCCACACCAGGCAGGCTTGAAAAATATGCCTGGCCACGATGGGATACGAACCTACAAGGCTACGACCTTTGGAATACTAGCCCAATGCTCTACCAAATGAGCTACGCGGTCAGGACGGTTCGAGTATGCGATATTTCCGAACTGAGTCTAGTTCCTTCGATATCAGTGTAATCTAATAATCATGATGTTTGTGTTGTGTTGGTGACACTGTAGAGTAGAACAAAATTTGTTGCCTCAGGCTCAAGCAGGATTCAAACTTGCATGTTTGGCTCAGCAGTCCATGTAGGTCTTAATTTAGCTGTCAAAACATTCCTTTCATGTACCATTGCAAACAAAAATGGTCATAATGATGTTTTCATAATGGAAACCGTGATGATATTAGGATTGCGATTAAAGAGACTGTCAAGTGCTCATGCATGTGTTTTGTTTATATTTTTATTTCAAACGATAGATAATTACAAAAAAATGTAAACAAAACACACGCATGAGCACAACGGACTTGACAGCCTCTTTAACATTTCTATAGTGCAAGTTTACATGTGCATGGATATGATCAAATACTTTACTGCATGCACATCGAGTATTACGCTTACCTACAGTAAGACCTAGATTATTTTATCTTTATGACAAATGTGATATCATATTACTTTCTTACAGAGACAGATTTTCGTATTTTCATTCGGGGGGGGGTAAATATCTGGGGGGTGCTGCTGCTTGCTTTGGCCTAGAAAACACCTTTTGTTGAACGGGTGTTGCCCAGAAAGACCAAGGAAAATGTTCAACAAAATTTGTTTTCTAGGCCTGCATGGCGAAATCTGAGACCATAATATTGGTAATTTTACAAATTTAGTAGTAGGAATAATCAAATATGAAACTATCAAATCAAAATATATATAATTTGCGGGGGTGCAAAAACTTTTGGGGGCGGTTACAAATGCCTCGGGGGGGGGGGGTGCAAATCATTTCTGGGTGGTGCACGCCCCCCAGAAAATCCGTGCCTGCTTTCTTAACTGTGTTTATCCTAACCCACCCTGTCAACTTTCCCTGTGGAGGAAACAGGAGCATCTGGGGAAAACCCACGACTTTCGGCAGAGCGTTGACTCTTTTCACATGAGTCCGTAGCGAGAATCATATTTCCATGATTACTGTAAATTGTTGACTTAAATAGTTTTTAATTCTTTTTTAAGGTGCTAAGTAATCTGAAAATTGTTATTACGGTGATTTTGTACAGAATTATATTAAAAAGGTAAATTGTTCAACTGAATGTAATGCTATGTATATTTTAAAGAAATTATTAGAAATTCCAAAAGTACAGTGACCAGGGCCGGGTTAGCCCGCGTGCAGGCCCAAGGGAACTGATATCAGTTCCCTTGGGCCTGCACGCGGGCTAGGGCCGGGTCTACCATGGGAGTGCATCCCACCATAGTGGTGTCAGCTAGCAGCCCCCCCCCCCCATAGCGAAGTGCAGCACCACCCTAAAAAAATCTGCTTGACCATACATTTTCTGGTTTACGAATGACGATTAACAGCGGAACTTCTACTGTTAGCGGGTGTCGATTTCTTGAAACGATTCAGTTGATTTGCGAGCTCACCATGTAGATTTCAAATATACTGTACTACACTTTAACAAACAAACTTACTGTACTGTGCTTACGATACAAACTTTATAAACAAAGGATAATGTAAAACGTAACAGAACGGCGAACATGCAGATTCAGCCATCTCAAATAATGGTATTGTTGGGATAGCAGCGTTGCAGGCTGCAGAGGAGAGTGGGCAGTAAGGCTCCCTCATGCACCACCCCATGGAAAACCTGCACCTCTCTTGGAAGAGGAGGCTAGATGTCTGCATCTGCTGACTGCAGTTTTATACCTTTTGATCCGATTTTGATGTTGATATTTCTAGACCAATTTCAACAAACAAGTGGATCGCTTTTGCATTGATAACAATAGCTGGTGCTTCTAACAGGTACAGTACGTACAGTGGCTTTACAGTCAACTCGGCCCACTAACCAACTCGGCCCACCGTTAAAGGAACAACTCCGGCTGCTTGTAAACTGACTAATCTAACCACTAAACAAGCTAGGAGCCATGACTGCCATTCTGTCTTTGCAAATTTTGAGAGAGATTTGAATGATCAGTAATTTAGTATCAAAACGGACAGTTCAAGAATTTGAAACTTCGATAGATTCTTTAATTAAATTAAGTCAAACTGGATGTTCTCAAACTTTACTCATCTGTATGCCCAATGCAACTGCAAATGGCTGTATTGGTTTGGTGCTATCTTTTGTAAAATATTAGCTTTCCTAATATATCAAACAGTAGTTAACAATTGGGCCAAGAATGGTATGGGCCGAGTTGGTTACTGGGCCGAGTTGACCAGCTCCCGTACAGTGTATACATGACAATCAATACGTAGAACTGTTTCTGAGAAACGCCTGGGCAAAGGTTTCGATACATAAGGTCGTATCATGAGCAATGCAAATAACATTTCGGAACATATCGTAGAGTTCTCGTTTAATTCATGTTTTCCATAGGCGTACGAGACAGGGGGCAGGGAGGCAACTGCCCCCCCCCCCCATTTTGAAAAACCATGGAAACTTGGGCAAATGCTAGGAAAAATCAAGAAAATTCGGGCAGATTTATCAGAAAATATGTTAAAATCAGGTTTACTTATTTCATTACAATTCTCGATAAAAATTCGGGCAAACTTTCACCTTACCCCCCCCCCCCCCCCAAAAA